GGTCTAATCATTCCAAATAACACATCGCTGACTTCGTTGAATCTTTATACTGGCTCTTGACCTGACCCAAAGCTTGTGATAAGATTGTTTTTGTTGTGTGCAAGTAGCAATGTTGAATTGATACAAAACAAAGCATTGAAATCTGTTTTCTTGCTCCATCAAATACAAAATACAAATTACTTTAGAGCTAACTTCCCAAGGCAGAGAATGTGTTTTTGACACATTAACAACAATAATGATTTTGAATAATTRTAAACTTTGTTTTTAAAGGAGGCATGTTATGCTTTTAAATCCTGCTTTTCCACATGTAAATCATTCAGTTGGGGTCCATATTCAATTCAAATTCAATTCAAAAATACTTTATTGATCCCAGAGGGAAATTAGGTAAAGTATAAATATAGTATATAAAGTATATAAAGTGGAACTGCAATGATTTGTTCTAATTCCACTTTATTGTAACTCCACAAGCCCCTCTTTCCCCCCTTTTCTGAGGTGTGTCTCAAAGTAACTCATTTGGAGGCTGTCTCTTTAAATCTAAAGGWGTTTCAAACCCCGCCCYCCTCCAGCTTCAAGATCAGTACACTCCAGATTGAGAGAGAAGTTGACAAATTAATTAAAAGATGTCAACAACAGAAGACTTGTCCATCCAGCCTTACATGCTGGAGCCAGAATCTGACCCAGAACCAGTACTGTCCTGGAATTTCCCCGCACGCGGGACAATAAAGGCTGTTTCAATTCTATTCTATTGGAACAATATTGTTCTGTTAAAAAAATGTGAGCATCTTCCATAAATGTATTCAACACTTTACCATTTTAACAAAACAAAAGTCAATTCAAGGTTGCTGTCAGACACTGAAACTGGCAAATATTTCCCGTTCTTTTCGTGTCTAATCGCATGCAAAACACAAACAGGACTTACTGTRGCTATTAGCTTGTCAACACAGTCAGGTGCAACGCTGTGGAGGTGTGTGAGGTGGAACTGCAGGTGGATCTTATTGTTGAGCATGTCCTGGCATAACGGGCAGCGCAGCATGGGCTGAACAGAGTGCTGCGTCATCACGTGCATTCTGAGGCGATTCAAATCCGTGTTGGTGAACTTGCAGTAGGGGCACTGGTACAACTGAATGGTGGCAGAAACAGGAACAAAAAAAAAAAAGGATTAGAGTGGGGGGAATTCAGGGTTAACATGGTAAAATATGTACTTTGAGCATGGTGGGCCTGCTTCAAAAAAAAAAGAAGAAAGAAAAAAGCTGTAGATCAGGAGAGAGAGAATAAGGACACYTCTTTTAAAGGAGCCGATCTCTCAGATCATAGACACATGTGTAAAAGTGAGCTCCACAGAGTCCTGGCACTGACTTCAAAGTGGTCTCATCTGTCAAATACCATATTGATTTTCTGTCTTACACGCAATTAGAAGTGCTACCAAGAAGAAAGAAAGATCATTTTAAATAGATTTAAAAAGGAAAAACTACACAACATGAAAACAGTTGGGAAGATAACCTAGTAGCTAAATTGCTGGAAATTATTAGCCTATTTTTTTATACTGAATTGATGTGCAAGTTTAAGACTTATGATCAGGTCTTGGTAAATGAGGAAGGGATAACTTTGAGCGAGAAATCTCAAATAAAAAAAAAAAGGGCAGAGTTTTATAAACATCACGGGACATGAATATTAGCCGAATGCCAAGGTTCTGGACGCTCACCTGCTCCGCAGCGGCCTTCTCAGCTGTCCTGGGACGCTTCGATGAGAGCGGACTCTCAGAGGTCTCAGACTGCAAAGAGGGCCTTTTGGAAGGAACAGGCGAATCTGACTGGTGCCGTTCCAAGTGGCCGGACAGAGCTGCATACGTTCACACAGACAAACAGAGGGATGAGAAGAGAAAAGCAGACATGTTAGGGCATTTTGAGAACCTGGCAGCCTGAGAGCAGGTCAATCAATAACAGAGTGGATAAAGGGCTTTGGAAAGTCTTTCTTAAAGGTGATGTAAGCACATTTAATGGAATGGGACAGTGAAAATTGTGTTATCCACATGTTTCCCACTCAACCCAAGAATTTTGAAGAGATTTTTTCCTTAGTATTTACTTAAACACCAAAATAATTAAATAAATAAATAAAAATGATAAATTCTAGATAGAGCAAACTTACATTTTGCATTAACAGATATTTTAAGTTTGTGTTATTTAACTTTGCTTTGTCGTGCGACTGCTTTGTTATGAGAGGAACAGAGATCTGCATTAGTTCACTAAAGAGTAAAATGTTTTCTAATCAGCTCGAGTCCATTTACCTGTCAAATGTATTTTTATTTAATTTTATTTTTTTGTCTGCTTCCTTCTATAGGGGTTGCCACATTGAGCAAACTTGCATGAATGATTTGGCAGTGGTTATAAGCCAGATGTCCTTCCTGATGCTCAAACTGGGAGTGTCAGGATTACAAGACTGTGGCACCGACCACTAAGCTACAGCAGCACTAGGTAAGGTAAAGCAAAACATATTTTCAAGTGCATGTCAAACTTAATGTGACTTTCCAAATTATTCTCATTTAAATCCAATGCATAAAAATGACAAAATAATGTACTATACCATTTTGTTCATGTCAAATAATAGTTTCATTGAGATGAGGGAGAAGGTAAAGTAGAATACTCTTTAAAACTTGTTTGAGTTTTATCAAGAAAAGGATTTTTTAAAACAAAAACTACTATTTACATGTGTTTTTTTTTTATTTATTAAGTTGCTTTTTTATCAAGATGTTTTAATCGCTTGGAAATTTTTTCAACGATTTGTTTAAGTAAGATATGCAACACCAGTAAATATTTTTCCATTTCTGTTTACAGCGTTCTACTTTCTGCTAMAGTTCTATAAGAAGAAGAAAAAAATAGAACATCGCAATGAGAAAAGCTGCTCTCAAACCTCTGCACAAATTTCAGTACTTCCCCAAAGCTGTTTTGCATATGACAGCGAGCCTTCTTTCAGCTCTCAGATTTTCAAGACATAACAGCCCGGCCACTGGGCACAATGATGGCATCAGAATGACTATTAGTYATTTCCTAGTATATTCCCATACAGCTGTGCTTTAGTGTTCAGTGTGTGGAAATAGAAAAAAAAGGCAAGGCTGCAGTCATTGTCAGGTGAGTGCCAGTCTTTTTAAAATCACTGTGTTTCACTGGCTCCCACGCCAAATTAGATGGCTAATCCTTTGAATTAAACAATGCTGATGTTACCAAAACATCATGTCTGTTTCTGTGCTTGTGGAGCAACATCTCACACAGGAGTCCCTGCAAAACCCTTTAAAACTACTTCATTTTCTAAAGGAAAGGTTTAGCTAGAGTTTGCAAAAAAAGGGTGGGGGGGGGGGGGCAAATCAGGGGTCAAAGAGTTAAGCTTGAGCTCTCCAAGAATCTAAATCCACGCAGACCTTTGTGTGGTGGAACTTTGTTTACCACTAGCTCAATGAGTTCAGCGCAAAACTTAAGGAGTTGTCTCACAACCCCTCCTAATGAACCCATAAAGAGTGAAATTACCCGTATTTGTACAGTTCGGGAAGGGCAAATTGAGAAGTGAGGGCACTAGTAGTGGGGGAGGGGTGGGGTGGCAGGGGGTCAGTTTAAGCTGGGCTGACCACGCTCCTGTTCCAGACATTAAAATGTCAGTTCCAATCAGGACAAGGGCAGTTGAGGTGATTGCCCAGTGGGAGACCTGGCTTTTGGACAGAGAGGCCTGGAAGAACTCCCAGAGACACCGGGATCAGCCAAGGAGACCCTATTAGGGTCCAGTCAAAGGCAATCCCATTAAACACATCCACCAATAAGCACACGGATTGTTAAACAAAAGGAACCTCCCATTCGCTGGCATTAACCTCTCAGTCATGGTACTGTCCTCACCAATTCATCCCACAACTCCTCTCTAGTCAGCATCTTCTTCCCCCCTATCACTTCATGAAAGTAAACAAGAGCAATCAGCTGTGGCCACGCTTCAAAAGTAGAGTGGTTTTATATTTCAATAGTTTGAATACAGTTCAGTGTTATTTTTTTATAGACATCACTGCCAAATTTCGAGGGTGCCTTGCATAATGCAGTTAAGAAACTGGTGAAGGATCTTAACCTCTTATCCTTTCCTTTCTTCTTCTGCAGCTCATTATTTCAAAAAGCAGCTCCTTGACTATAATTAACATCTACACCCACAAGGATGGATGACTTCTCTCCATCCAATTGTACAAAAATTAAAAAAGAAAGAAATCTTTATGAAAGATGTGATGCTATTTTTAGCAATAATAAAGAAATAAAATGCAAGAGATAAAGTTTAAACATAAGGCAGTTGCATCTCAGCTATAGCACTCATAAAAAAGAGCACACACTACACGTGGGTTACTGTTAGCATCGAGCATCCTCTCAGCCTCATAATTAAAAGAATAAGCACAGCGATTATACTTTCACAGCTGCTCAATTAGCACCAGAGAGGTGCAACAAGTGGCTGTTTATGCCAAAGCACAGAAAGCTGCTCTGAACTGSTTTTCTAGTTCAGCAAATTCCTGCTGAAGTGTGAGTGAGAAAGAAAGCGTGCAAGGTGAAGGAGGATGGAGGGCTACAGAGGCTTTACTCTGTGAAGTCTCACTCGTCACGGCCAATTAGGACTTCATAAATCAGATCCATTGCATTCTCTTAAAAAATTTAAAATTAAAAAAAGACACCCCAACACCATTGCCAGCATCATGACTAATATCTAAACCACTGTATCCAATTTTTACTTGTCAGAATGGAAAATAAATTAATAAAAAACTAGAAGTTAATAAATATAAAAGTATAGGTTTAAGTATATTTTTTAATTGTTGTATACAGCTTAATAATAATAATAATGCAAACAATCAAAAAAACTAGGAAAAATGGATAATCGCAATCTTCATTTTTAGAATATATTTATTTTAATTCATATATTTATTCAGTTCAGTTTCAATAAACAACAGCTTTTGAATCTTTTAAGATGGAGAATTTGAAATATTAACAACTCAATATTGAAAAAACACCACTCTGACTCATTTTGGTACCACAAGTCATACAAATTTAGGATGTTGCAAGCCTACATGAATCTGTTGCATTTTTATGCCTTAAAGTTCAGCCGTGGATAAATCTGACCTTTCCCTCTGACCATTGGTCAGAGTGTTTCCATTTAAATCAAGCTCCTTTTGATAGATTTAGACAATGGTTTGTGTTTGTTTGTTTTTAAATAGTAAGAAACCACAGAAAAAAAGAGGAGGAAAAAAATCCTACAAGCCCACAAGGTTATTATTAATTCATAACCCTTTTCCGTAAACCAGAGGCTTTTCTGCTGTCAAGTGCTCTAAGTGAATTAGACTTTGGCACCTTGTCTTTTTTTTTATAGCTGGACTTTATTATTCAACCTGGAAAAGGTTCTCCAGCACATTGCACCAGTCTCTGGAGCCATCCCCACAGCCTCGGTGTGTGGGGGAAAAAAAGATGGCTGTTGGACTAAATGATGGACAGAGCAAAGACTAGAATCACCACAATAGGTCATCGTATATAGAAATCTGCCAAAGAAGTGAACAAAATCACAGCAGCCCTTAATCTATGTCCTTGTGGGGAGGTCATTCATGTTGTGGAAATAAAAGTAGACAGCATGGAAGCATAGGGAAAATTTTTAAAAGTTTGCAGGTGTTTTTGAAGGACAATTTCTTTCCTCTCTGAGATGAGGTGCTCATCATCTCCTCTCCTCATTTTTCTGGTTCCTGTCATGTCATGGCAGCTACAGGTCTCAGTTGTAAAAAATNATAATCCATCACACCTTCTGTCCAATGAAAGTGAATAACTTTAATGTCACTTTACCCCCCCCCCCCCAAAAAAAAGTCACAGTCTGATAACCATAACTTCAGTTCTGTAAGAACAACAAAAACTCGCCGTGCATACTGAAACCCAAGGACTGCTTGTAGTACTACTTTCTGAAAAGCACATCTTTCACCTCCCCACTGCTGAGACCATCCAACACCCGTCTGCTTCCTGCAATGTAGAAAATCCTCACCTCTATTCCCTGGGCAAAGTTGGCTATTAATATGGAGATGATTCAACTCCCCTCTGTGCTACAAGTCATTTTCTGTCAGTGCTGTGCTAACAATAATGTCCTTTCTTTTTCCCTCATTTCTAACCAGGTTTTTAATCTACAGCCTGTGTCAGAGCCCAAAGCAATAAAGGGCAGTGCTCAATTTCATCTTTTATTTCTGAAGTAATTACAATGCAATAAAAACAAACTGATTTTCTTTTTCAACTTAGAACCAGAGGCAGATACAAGGAAACAATTTCCTTATTATTTATAAAGGCCTAATCATCTTGCTTAGAACAAAAACTCAAATATTCTATAAACTATGAAGAATTTGCAGTCTAGCCTTATAAAAAAAGGGATTATTTAGCGCTGTTATTATTAATCTATGGGCTGCATGACAAGTTATTCACCTTAGCAGGACAAAGCTCTGCTGCTCGGCTGTTAGGAACCTTGTGGTAGAACTCATAAACAGGGGGCTTTCAGAAAGGTCCCTCACAAACAAGGACAATTTATGGCCTATTATCTTCAAAGACAAAAGGAATTATAATGTGAGGGATGACAAACACTCAAAGGACGTGACGTGAATATGGAAACACTTTCATTGCTGGATTCTCACACCACTTATTGTTTAAAAGCAATCACCACTGCACTGAATGGCCTACAATTTAAAGCACCAACAATATAAACTTGAATTATTTAATTTTAACCAGGCACGGGCGTGCAATTTCAGCTTCCGTCGAGCTCACATAAAATCTACATATTTGCACTGATATATGGAGAACAATTCACATTATTTGGAAAGTGTGTTTTTGAATTGGCACTACCCAAAGACTGATGGCAAGAAACAGAGCTGAATAAAAAAAAACGCGAGAGAGAGAGAGAGAGAGAGAGAGAGAGAGAGAGAGAGAGAGAGAGAGAGCTGACTGCAATGCCACAGTGCTGCGTCTAGGGGATGCTAATCATCACATTCATTATACAGATTACACAAAGCAGCCACAATGTTGAACATGTCTGCTTTTTCTTTTTCGCCACCTGGGGTGCACGTGTGCTCGCCGAAGCACAGCGACATAAAGACAGGTGGAGCGAAAAGCACACACAGGTGCAGACACACAGACACACAGACTGTAAATTATAAGCATATCTTCTGCAGCTGCTTTGTTGAAACAGTTTCTCAGATTTAGAGTTGACATTGATCTGAAAACACAGAAGCATTTTGTAGGTGTGTGTCTGTAAAAACCTGCAGCAGAAAAAAAATATTGTGTCGAAAGGGAGTCAAAACCTGTCGCATCTGTCCACTGATGTATAAATCCATCAAACAAATTCTTCTCATTCTAAAAACTGATAAAATTAAAACCTTCTTACATAACTAACAAGTCTAAAAAAAACTGCACATCGAATAGGATTTTGTTCATTAAGGCATGTCACCAGTATTTATGCTTTTGAATGAGAAGAATTAGGAAGGAAATATCAATACTATTACACAAGTTATGCCTCGATGGAACTCATCTTCCCTGTTTCACAAAAATACAACCAAATACAGCAAGATATTCAAAATAGTTTATTTGATAGGCAGAAAAATAGGCCATAYATGGTAAATATAGACTTGAAGTATAAAGCACCTAAAGGTAGGCTATTACGTATTTTCCAGGCACATTGTTCAAATCTATATAACAATCTAACTATGTTACCTTCAGTTGTTTTGAAAATGTTGTATATATCAAAAATAAAATTGACTTTGAATCATAGTCTATCTTAAAGCCTTGAAATTGGCCTCTGTCTCTTTAAGAACCTCCTGTTCTTGACACGCCCACCTCACTCACTGGGGGAAGGGGTGCTACTTGGGGCGCACGCTCGGCTGGGACTGAGCTCCAGGGAGGAGCTAGGTACAAATAGGCGGAGCTTTGTACAAGCAACTGTTTAGGCAGCTCCACATGGCTACCACAAGAGATTCAAGGATTTATCAGACATGCATGAATGAGTCAAAGCAACACACTGTGTATGTTTTTGATGACATAAMATGATATTAAGCTCAAAAATGTTTTTTTTTGCATAATATTCCCCACCCACTTTAATTTACAGTATATATTGTGGCTTAGTTAACAACTGGCAAATATTTTTATTTTATTTTTTTACTTTGTGCTTTACAAAATATCAATGATCATCTGAATGCATATATTTATATGTTGTGTTCAGTCTTCAATATATGCCTTGTTTTGTTTTAGCTGGTTTCTGCCCCCTGAGTTGTTCACAGAACGAGGATGACCAAAGTTGAAATATATTTTTTCACTCCTTGTTTTCACCACCTTGCTCCAGCTTGTACAAATTCTATCAGTTTTCACTAAACCCCAGAACTAAGACTACTCGTTTCTTCTTCTTTTCAATGCGTCACCTCAAAACGAACAAAACCTTCTGCAAAACATTTATTTTTAATGTGTCCACCTCTGCAGGTGTCTCCGTAATTTTGATCTTTTACACTGTGGTCATGTCAAGCTTTTTTTTTTAACCTTCCTTTTTTCTTACACTCACAGCTGCATTCCCACACTTTCACATGGTGCACACCATCTGGTTTAATAAAGTAAAAAGTTAATATACTGAAGCTCTTGCCTTTAAGCAGAAGGGTCTCTGCTAGGTGACAAAYGTGCAAGCTGAAAGAAGCTCATAGATATCCATTTATACATATTTTATAACGTGACCCTTTGAATTTCTAATCATGAAAGATGATTCAGTTGCAGCACATCTAAGTCCTAAATAAAGTTATAAATTCTTTGAAAAATGATGTATTTCCATCAGTTTAAATAAACACCAAACTAATAATAATATATCGTAGAATAACAAAAAGTAGCACAGCATATTGTTTGCAGTGTTTTCAAGCAAATGACATTTACATACATTTGTATGCATTTTACATGTGCATCTCTGTATTGTTCTTGAGACAAATAAAGCACAACAGAATAATGAAGGCATCTTTCAAGAGATGACAAGCCAAATACATATGCATTTTACAAAGGCTTCTGATGTACCTCTAAATGATTTTAATGAATACTGGGAAGCTGTGGAACAAGAAAGAGAAAATGAGATTGACAGGGGCTTTAAAAAGGAGGAAGTCTTTTTTTTCTGTGCTCGCTAGTACTGTCTGTCTGACAGTGACTGTCATTTGTAAAGGAACAATGTTGCGCTCTGTTCCAACAGCTACATGACAACCATGAGAAGAAGTACTTCACTGCTTCTAATGATGGATTTTAAAAGCGGCTCAGCCTCAGACAGCAGGAGGCTGAACACCTTTCTCAGAGATAACAGGTTGGCCAAGACTCCAATACGCCACATTTTAACAAACACATCCTCTGTGCACTTACTATGCAGCATTTCAGACAATCAGCAGCTCAAACAAGTGCTCCTCTGTTTACCAAACGCATTGTGAGTTCTTCCTCACTTCCTGCCWACAAGACAGGTTTTCTGCATCTGCTCTGAATGGGCATTGTATTTGTCAAATGCAGAAAGTTGGATACACAGCGAGAGACCTTTCAGTTAAACTAAAGTTGTCTACTTTTCACTAACAACACAGCCTTGAACCCCCCACACCATCCTACCCACCCACCCTTCCACTGACATCAAACAGAACCTCAGACCTGGTTTCCCTAATGCAATGCTATTTTTAACTAAGCGTTTCTAATAAGYTGCTGGGAAGCTGTAAATTTTTCATACGCAAGCACATATTTCCTTTGTGAAAACACAGAAACACACTTATTTGCTGATTAGTGACTGACAGAAGGGAGGAAAGGAACTGAATATGCTTGTATCAAATTGCATGCCTTTCAAAAAGAAGGAATCCTAATGCAAGGAGTCGTCTTCCTGTGCACCACAGGTATGAGTGAATTATTAATCGGCCAGCTCATTTTAATGCTTTTTAAAGTGCTTTATTTTGATGTGCTAAAACATACTTTTAGCCATATTCAGTCAGGCATGCATATCATTATTTCTTCCATCAAAGAGGAGTGTCGCCCTTTCAAAGAGCACAAACAACTCAGCCTCATTTAAAATAGAAGTTCAAATATCAAAGACGTTTTACAAAGGCTAGGCTTCAAACACTCTGATGAAGTTTCCTTTTTTTTCCTGTACTTTACGAAAACTTCGGTATGCAAAAGGTGCCGATTGTTTTGCAGCTTTTAACCTGACTAGTGTAAATCAAAACATCCTGCAGTAACACAAGAAGCTAGACAAGTGAAAAGCATCTATCCAGGCCCGTTACTGTTCAGTGTCATTAGCATCAGAAATCTTTTCTGTTCTGTAAAAGATGTATGAACTGTCAGCAATGTTCTTTTGCTAATACAAAGTAAATCAGGCGTGAAAAATAAAAATTAAACTATGCTTCATTTATGCAGCTTCAAACACCTGAATAAAACCAGTAAACAAAGTTCCACATATAGAATTAGATGCAGTGATGCACAAACACTGTGCAATATGCTATCTGATCTAATTTAGTTTGAAACTAAACTAGCCTCAATTAATTAGATTTATTTGTTTTTCATACTTCTGCCAAGTTTTAAAGAAAAAACATGTTTTACCATATATCAGTAATAAATTCAGTACAGTGTGTTTTTAGTCCACTGAGACCCGATGCTAGTGTAGGTGTATGTTTACTGGAAACAATGATCAGAATGGGTAAACACAAAAAAAGCAAAAATCTGTTCTTATGTCTCCTAGTTACAACAATATCTACAAATATTAACTGCAAAAGCAAACATTTTGTATTCCACTTTGGTCTTGAAGACTTCCYGCCAAACTCAAACATCCACACAAGGTTCCATGTTTCAACTGTAATCCCAGCGTGAGGTAAAGTGTGTCATCAATTGGTGAAAACCTTGAAATCATATAGGAACAAAATAACAGAAAAAAACTAAGTTACTTTTTTCAAAATTGAGTTTAAGTGGAAGTATCCCCCAAAAAGTAAAAAATAGTAAGTAATCAATTGAAAACAAAACTGTTTCTTAATATTACTTAAAAAAAATGTCAAGCTTGAGGCTGCTCCCTTCAAACGGAGCCCTACTTCCTGTTCAAGACACGTCACAATCACACAACAAAAGTAACATAGAAAGAACCTCTGGGGTCTGAACAATTAACAAAAGTTTTGTGAAATCACGTATSTGCATGTGAACATGTGCACTGTTAGAAATGCACATCTGTTGAGCAAAGGCAAAACATGGGTCACGTGTCACTGAACTTACTTTTTTAAATTAACTTTAATGCCTAGAATCATGCATGATGAGAATGTCGTATTTCTTTTCTACACAATGGAATTGTTTTGAAAGATTGTGTTCTGCACTTAAAACAATTAAGTTCCTGGTTAAACAAGACAAAAGGCCTGTTTTTCAGGCACCATACAGCTGCATGGCCATTCATGTCTCTTGAACTGTGCTTTCTAAATGTGTGTGTAAATATTGGCCTTACCTGTCCCTCTGGAGAGCTCCTTCTCCCCCCCACTTTCTCGGTCTTTGGTTTGGTCTTCCTGGTCTGTGGTGGTCTCGCTAGCAGCCTCCACATCCTCGCTTAGCTCTCCTGTAGGTGAGGAGGGGGGTGGGGGGGGAATGGGATATGTAAATCACCACACCATCAGAATTGGTGGAAGCACTTAAAGGGACGGCAGCGTTTTWTTTTTTTTCTATAGGAGCTTGCAACAATTACATTTGCTGACACACAGTTGCAAGGCTAGCAGACAAAGAGGGCAGAACCTGCTTTCTGCTCTCTGTCCCATATCACCTAATGATACTGTGAAATTTATTTGATCTCAGATTATAAAAGAGAGTTAAATTGAGAGGGGACAGGAAAAACAAATCAGTCATTTTTTATTAAAAGTCTCAAAACCATGATGGAAATGAGATTTTCTTTTCTTTGTTTTTAGCATGGACATAAAACTGTAAGGGGAGAGAAGGGGCACACATGGCCTAAAGTGGGCAGATAAAAAATATATTTGTGACTTTAAGAAAAAAAGACCTTTATTTCACACAATCTAGTCTCTCTCTCTCACACACACACATACACACACACCACTGAGTTTGTTGAATGCCCAAGATGATAGCTGCTAACTAACACATATTATGTCCACAATGGAAGATGCAGGC